CAAACTAGCGCAATTGCTATCCGCACGCAACAATTTGGCAAGGACCGTATATGAGTTCTAGCGGTCTAAATCGTAGATATTCTCGTCGCAACCTCGTTGATTTTACTTTCCTTATAACACTATTATTAGCAAAAGTATCGTAGAGTTTACAGTGAGTCACATCCCCCTTGTTGTGTTTTGACTATTTCGAATCTACATTGTTATCATCTCAGACTGTTGGTTGTGGGTGTGTCGCGCTACCACCCGCTCGTTGTAGACCCATCACCAATCGAATCCATTGACTTCAAGGCCGACGGAGAGCAAGACAGGTTACAAAATGAGGTATGCGGAGATGATGTATATTGCTTGTAAATAGTAATTGTCATTGTTGTAGCACATATTCAGCAACTTTGCGCATTTCTTCTGCAGATAGTTTGCAAGGGTGCGTATGTGGATACCGCGTTCTCCCTTGTTTACGCGTGTTCTTGCGTTGTTTTTTTGTTTGAACGAGACAGTTTTCGAGTGTTGCGATTCGTACTCAATGAGAATGTGGTGAAACGCCGAGAAGGAGCAGGTAAAGTAGCAACCAACTATCTCAAAGACCGATGCACGACAAAAAATATCCATTGATGTCACGCAATACGTAGCAACCAATACCAAACCCTGGGTGCGGCATGGTACAGACTTCACAATACACGCGCGTTCGATTATCCACCAATCGGGTTGTTCAGTAATCCCTCGCTCTCGAGGGGGAGCTCAAGCTCAAAGCAAAAACTTGGGAAACTAGTGTGAATTTATTCCTTGCCTGCCTGCTTTTTTCGTCATGTTCTGTTTCTGGAGACTTCAACTGATTGGCAAGCGTACATCATACTTCCTCAGGTGACCGGGAAGAAGAAGCACGGGGCGCAGACAATCACACCTGAATCTTTATTGTGTCGCGTCAAACTTGTGAATGGTATGTATGTATTGAGTATTTACACGCATATATGTACTGAGAACTGTACAGAGCCCTTGCGTAACTACCCAAGATACCTGTCTGTATATCTGCCCTATCATCTCGGGGTGTTACATCCTCCTTGTGCTGAATTTGTATGACAGGCAGTGCATAAATCCAGAGATATCGTCAGTTTCGAATATATCTCTCTCTGTTGATTATATTCACGACGCTGCTCTTTAGTACTTGTTTACACACTAATCCGTGAATGGGGCCGCCTAATGATGTGTTGCTTCGCTCTCTAGCACGACTAGTAGTGTGTTCTATGCTGTGATGATCATGAGAGAATAGCTAGCTAGCTCAGTATGGTTGGGGATTTGCACAAAGATGTATCCCATGAAGCCAGTCTACGGTGTAAATACGCTGGAAGAATGTGAAGTCCATCACACGCATTTTGGTTTGGTGTATGCGTCTCGATTTGGGTCATGTTATGATCCCGTATCTATGTAGGAAGACGATACATGTGTACCATAATCTGGGATTTGAGAGTGCAAGGATGTTCGTGGGTGCTTGTATGGTTATATATGCAGATGTTCTAAAATAGATGTAAATATCCCTGGCTTACGCAACGCTATGTGTATAAGTATATGTAAGGACGTGATACTGGCGTGCATATATCGATCGTGCCTAACACGTGTGTACATTCCAAAATTCATGCGTTCATATAGCCCGTGGGGGTCTGTTACACGGCTATTGCAAGGCAACATCCAATTACTTCTCACAATCCTCTTGTCTCACGGCCTTCTTGGCATGCCTTTGCATACTTATCTTCAGGTACAAAATACGATACCCGTCTCAACATGCCTTTACGTATGCGTCTTTAGTTAAAATAAAAGATGCCCTTTTCAACACACTTTTACGTACTTATTTCAGATACAACATACGATTCTCGTCTCAGAATGCTTTTACGTATTTATCGTTAGGTAAAACATACGATATCCTTGGCATCGTGAAGGGGTCCCTCGTACAGGCGAATGCGTGTCTAATGGACAATCTGCAAATGCTCAAGAACAAGGTATGTTGCTGTCAGTGTTGTTATAGGCAGTCTATTACCTGATCAAGCGCTGTAGCGAGCTTGTTACCATACAGATGTATGCGGGTGTGCGGCTTCATGAGTGTTTGGTATCACTGTTGATATGGAAATATGTGTGTACGATTTCAATTCTTTGTTTGTATATTCACCTTGGCCTCGCTCCGTATTTGACTGTAGTCATAGCAATCTACGTTGATAACATTCACACAAAAAAATCATACCACGTTTTGTCCCAGGTGACTGCGAGTTTGAATGCCTATATCTGTGAGTACGTATGCAGTTGTAATACTTAAATAGTCTGGGGGTTTACATGTGTAATTTTCTCATGTTCATTTGTTTCTCATTCAACAGCCCGAAACCGACGGCTGGGTGGCCATAATCACACGAAAGAACAAATCTGACAAACTTCCGACCAATTTAGAAAATCTAGAGAGCTATGAGAAATTGCGTGGTACGACGTAGAGTATACGTGTCACCAACAACAGTCCCTAAGTACTCGACAAACACAGCGTTATAGTAAGGAAATGGCAAGACCAAAAAACATCCGCAACATCTGTGTTTTGTTTTTGTTCTGTTTTCGAAGCACCTACAGTCCACGTCAAATTCGATTGCAACTCTATCACTTGGGAGCGGGCTAGTTTCTAGCACATATCCGCTGCCTATGCAGCCGTCGTCACTCGATAATTGACACTGTTTTCCATTCCTATTCGTGTGTCGGCTTTTATAGTGCTCGTACATACGTACAGCAACACAAAAACCAATATCTGCTGTCCACTTATCGCCAAGTGGAAAATATTTAGTGCGACGTCCGACAAGTAGAGTCGGTTGGTACGACATGTGCCAGGATATGGAGAGAAAGGCAAACCAATCTCAATGTGATATTTCACAGCAGCTTAATTCAAATGGACTTGGCAGGTTGAGCTCTGTGAACGACATATGGAATAAACAGGCAAGCTGAATGATTTAATACTTCATGCCAAGATAAGTTAATCACACGGCAAAAAGTACGGTTCTCGATATATGCTTGTTATTCAATATGCTTTCATATTCATTGTATCATATCTGCGATACTTGACATTCATTTAATTTTATCATTGTTTCCAAGTATCACATCATTGTGCAACACCCTTGTTCTTTCTTGCCAACGGGCTTGGGCTTGTGATTAGCTTTGGGCTTGCAACTCATCTCATCAATCTTATTGGTAAGCTCTGTGAACATCTCTGTGACACCCTCTGCAGTCTTGGCGGACGCTTCCAAAAAACCAATCGTACTCTCTGTCGCAAACGCTTGGCCTTCAGCCGTGGGCACAGCACGCATATCTTCCAGATCCTTTTTGTTTCCTACCAAGTAAATGGGGATGGTACCTGGATCGGCATCCTGTTGAAGTAATATATTGTTTTGGTTTTATGTGAGCGTGATATAGTGAGTATCTCGTGACACAATGGGATAGGCAGCGAACAAGGCTTTAGACGAGAGGTGTACTTGCGAGCCTCAAAATGATGAAAAAAATTATCACTCAAGTCGTCAGTACCGTATCAAGAAAATGTACTTTGTGTATGCTAATACGTACAACCATCTCAATCGAGAAGGGATTGCTGTTGACCAATTACATAGCAACAGGTTTATGAGATACCTACCTTTGTGTTTAGAATTTCGGACTGCAGCTTCTTTGCATCAAAGAAACTTTGTTTATCCGTGATAGAGTAGACGATAAGAAACCCATCACCCGAGCGAATGTATTGCGGTCGCAGTGTATTGTATTCTTCTTGTCCAGCTGTATCTAAAACGTCTAGTATTTTCGGTTTACCATTGACAGTTATTGTTTTGCGGTAGCTATCTTCAATGGTAGGATCATACTCGTCTACAAATACAGAGCGAACGAATTGTATTGTTAGTGCAGACTTGCCAACACCCCCCGATCCCATAACAACTATGTTGTAACTTTTGGGTGTCATTATGAATTATTATTTGTAGCGGGAAAAGCTAGGATATTAATAGATGTTTTGAAGTGAGAACTGTGTATAACTGAGAGCCAATTTGAAATTTGCTGTATTTATGAGGTACAGAAAAAAATGCAAGACTACTTTTTATCGGGTGATATATGTGCAAATCTTCAATGGCAACTTGAACAAATGGCAATTGTATAACGCTTCCATTATAAGATAGAATAGTTGAATCTGATCTGGTAGTTTGAAACCAGTGTCTGTTTCTAAATTAGAACGAGATAACACATTCCTTCAATTCTGGCAGAGTTATCTTTGGTACCAGAAACAGTATTTAGCTGCTTCGTGAACGAAATATTGAGTTGTTGGAATAGTTTATCAATTGCCTCATGGATAGACCATGTTTTGCAGCGAAAAGGAGAATGTTCGACTTATCGACGAGGACAATCTATATAATGTCTGGCAATGATATAGCGCCTTGTTGCCAACTGCCAACATCTACAACGAAATAGGTCTATCGCTTGATTTACAAAAAAAAAGCGCAATACAACCCATCGATCACATATCATAACACAGAAGGAGTGAAATATCACACCCCTATGACTATCCAGATATCGCAGGACATGTCGCATCGAACTATTTTAGTGTTCACAACTTGAAAACTTCACATAGAGTAGTTACAAGTCATCGTCAACATTAGCGCAATCCTATTGGCTGCAGATCGAGATCAGCAAATTTGTATTTGTGTTAGTTTTCAACAAATACGTTTTATATTGGCCCTGCCAACTTGCTCATAGAATTTAAAGAGTTCCCTCGAGTCCTCATAACGTGAGCGATATTCAAAATTTACCGTTCAACAATTCAGGTACAAGTCCACGTCTACACGAGCGTCGAGCTAATGTAGACGTTTGAAAAATAATATAATATTATATTTAAATACAAACTCGGAACTTGAATAATAAAAATAACGCGTTAAAAAATTGTGCAAAGTACCTTTATTTTATTTTAGGCAACGACTACAAAGTACATTAAGATATATATTTATATATAT